GGGAATCCCACCCGCAGCTGCGCGCGTCCCGAAAACTAGGCGCCGCGGTGCGCGCGTGTTCACGTGGCAATCAGGACCCGAGTGGGCCTCTCTGGGGTTATTGTCTAGCTCTCGGCCTGGGGCCTAAGAACCTGGAGGGGACAGTCTGGGAAGTTGGGCAGACTTTTGCCTTCTCCTAAGGACAGGCTGACAAAGGCCACTCACAGCCTCCCCTGGCGGCTGCCTTGCAGGATGGTCAGCGCCTCTCAGCTGGACGGAAGCATGCAGGGGTGCGGGAGACGGCTTTCTTTGGGTGCGGCGTCTGTGGCAGGATAATTCCCTGTGGGCTGCTAGAAGGCCCATATTGGCTGCATTCATTCATTCGCTCATATTCAGAGCCTTTGAGTTGAGGGTGCTCCTGGCACTAGAGACCAGTGCCAAGAACAGCACGTGGTCCCTGCTTTCAAGGACCCTAGTGATGGGGCAAAGACACAGGCCATCACGGCAGAGTTTAATTACCTCTATATTCGGAGCAGCAGAGCTCCTATTTAACTCCAGGTGGAGGGCTGCTTCTGATCACAGCCATTCCTATATTACTTAGAGGTCTCTACCTTTCATTGGCCAATCCCTCATTACTCCAATCTCTTTAATTCATATTTCTTATAGTAACCCTTCTCTGTTCACATGGCTTTCTCCTAACTGGACACAGGCTGGATACAGAATTGGTACCAGCAGCGAAATTTCTGGGGGTCCAGTGACAGATGAGTAGGGGCTGCTTATGGAGAGGGGGGAAAAGGGAGGAGAAGAGGGAGGAAGCGGGGAAAGGGTGAAGGGGGGAAGGAGGAAGAGCAAGAAAGAGGACAGGGAGAGAGGTGGGGGGCGGGGAGAGAAGGTAACAGGACAGGGAGAAGGGGATGGGAGGATGGGTGGACAGGCAGAGCTCAGAAGCATGGAACTCGCCCGGTTGAAGATATGCCAAAGGCTGAGCTACGTACTTTATATACTTTAATGCTGTCCCATTTCCTAGATGAGGAAAGTGAGGCTGAGAGAAATGTGGATGTTATCATATATCCTATAAAAGGGGTACAGCTGGGTTGAACCTAAGGTCACATCCTTTGTCACCCTCTAACTTACAGATTCCTAAGTGTCACCACCTTCTAGCCAGCTGGGAAACAACTACGAAAGCCCAAATGCAAAGGCGTTTACAACCTGTGCTGCCATTAAGCTGCTTACAATCCAGGGAAGGGTGTGGAGGTGGTCAAGGGTGGAAGAGGGAAGTGGCCGCAGCTGGGCCTCACCTCTGAGAGGCCGGCTGACCCACCAGAGCCGCTGCCTTGATTTCAGTTCACAGGTATTTCCCACCAACACCCATCACTGCCCACCTCCTTATGTGACTCCCTTCCTGCCTCACCCTTCTCCTCTGGCTGGGGAGGGGTGTCCACCCACTGGCCCCTTCACCACAATCAGTTTGGTAGGTTTGCCCCCAAGTCCTTTAAAGAAAGAAAAACTGGTTGAAAACTCCACTCAGCATTATTTTCAATATGCAAAATACAGTTTATTACTTGGATTATACCCTTGAGTCTCCACATGGTGTAGTATATTCCCAGCCAAGTATTTCATCAGTAAATACTAAACAACACCCACTGTGAGATGACATACTTATGGGGGAGGTGCTTACTGCCCGTGGGGGAGTATTCTACAAAATACTTTCAAAAGGCCTTTAAAGTCACTTTTTAGTTGGAAAGTTATGGGCTATTTTGCACTTATACTGAAGATAAGTGCTCTGTCTGCCTCTACATATACCTTGAATTTGCTGCCCCGCAGTTTAGGGGACTTTTGCTTTGCCCCGTGTCCCTTCGCTTCTGGGAGGCCGGGTCAGGGAGCAGAGGCATGAAGGGGTCTGTGGGAGGGAGGGGGGCTGCAACCGGGGACCGGAGCACACTCGGGGGTCCTGGGAGTAGACACGCGGAGGGGCCTGCTCCCTCAGCAGCTGGCAGGGGCTGGGCGGACCCGGTGCCCATTTCCCCGAGTGCCCACCTGGACAGTCCTCTGGGGGGAAGGTGGCCGGAAAGTGGTCCCTCTGGACCGTGTCCTCCTCTGCCTCTTCAGGGGCAAGCAGGGGCCTTTTCTGTAAAAAAAAAAAAGGCCCCTGCCTTTTGTGTAGTAAAACCCTCACAAATGACTGAATGCAACCACTTTGTTTATTTTTAAAAAACTGATGGAAAAGACGGCCTGATTTTTGACTGACTGGTCCACTATGATTCCTGACCAAGTGGTTTAGAGGGTGGTCCTGTAACCCCCCCAGGTTACAGGGGTGCCAGCTCCAGCTCCAGGAGGGCCCCTCAGTGCAGCGGGGCCTGGGGCTGGGCCTGCAAAGCCAGCACTACCCTTGGGAGAAGGGCTGGGCTACAGCAGGGCTGAGAGGAGACCAGGAGACCCAGGGGCACTTGGAAACCACAGGGCCTGGCCCGACCGACCCCAGGCCACCCACCGGGCAAGCCTCACCCAGGAGTGATTTTTGGTATCTGAGGTGACTTTTTACTTCCCTAACGCAGGCCATCTTTATGAGTAAGGAATTTTCGAAAACAAAGAATAAGCCTCTCTATACCTTTAAAAACAAAACAAAACAAACAAACCAACAAATAAAAAAAGGAAAAGAAAGGATCCTGTAACAAAGCACTTGGTATCTTCTAGAAGGAATTGCTGAATTTCACATAAAGGCATCGTTTATGTTATTTTTGTCATATAAGACAAAGATTATTGTTCAAGACATATCAATTGAGTTGTATATGCAATTACACTCATAATGCAATAAATATGAGTCTAATGGATATGGACAAGACCCATTTTAGGCTGAGGGGATACTACTAATCCTAATATGTCTAATACCAGGGATAGGTCTTTAAATATGTTTACTGTCATGAGTTCCCACACAGAAAGGTTTTGGTGACTCTGAGAAGCATGTGTGTCACACACAGCGGTCAGCTTTTTCCTTGAAAGAAAATGTTCGGCCAAGTGGTAACACTCCTATCACGTCATCACATGGCTCATAAATTAAATATCCTGCCCATCTTGCGCACACCTGTACTTCATTTATACCAGTTCACACAGACGAAAATGTTTTATCTGAAACAAGATGATATGATGTAAGACTGGGAAAGATGCTTTTACAATAAAAAGATGTCTATTTACATTTGGAATTGGAACTTTCTTCTATCGCAGATCAAGTACCTCCTCAGACAGCCCACTAAAGTGAGCACCTCCAGACGAGGCTTCCAAAGTCACGGTGCATGCTGAGAAAGACCAGCTTCTAAAGTGCTCTGAGACAAAACTGACTCAAGGAAGGAATATGAAAGATACTAAATGCTGAAATCTGTCGGTAATAGAATGAGTTGAGTATAATTAAGAATAACCTTAAATGAATAAGTTTTAAAAAGTGTTCAAAATGAAACAAACAAACAAAAAACAACACTATACTTGAAGTAGTGCTGAAGGCTCACAGTGGTGTTTTTCCAGGGGTGGTAGTTTTAATAGTGATACTGGAGATGTTTGGTGAACTGTCAGCCATGGAGTTGCTCCCTTAAGCTAAGTTGTGATAAGCTCTCAAATCCTCTAGAAGTAAGATCTATTTACATGTGGCAATTTCAAATTCTAACCTCAGGTACCTAAGCATGTGTTGTGAAGAGACGATTAAGCCCAGACCTGTAAAGACACAAACAGAGAATTGTTAGTCCCTTAGTAGTTAACAACTTGTAAAACCTGAGTTTACAGGGATAAAGGTCTCTTTATACACACACACACACACACACACACACACACACACACACACACAATCCATCCAAAATAGAGCACTTGCATGTCTTGGAAAATATAACACTTTATTCTTAGCACATTGTATGCGGGAAACGTATTTTTACGTTGTACGTTGACTGGTAGTAGAGCGTGCAACAAAAACTACCCGCAAACAATGTGTTAGCAACTCAAAGGTGCATGTTTGGACCTGATGCCACCTCTCTCACTGTCTGAGGGCATCTGTGGCCTCCTACTAGGGACTGGTAACTCTTAGATTGGCAACTGAAGCCATCTGTACCCACACAGCTCTCTGGGTACATTAACAACTTTACTAATTTAGGCAACTCCTGCCCAAGAAGATGAAGTCACAAATAACTTTGTTTGTTTCAGGAACTTTGCAAAAATCCTTTTATCTTTTTATCCTACAAACAGATTGCTCAAGTATCCGCTTTAGAAGAGATTCACTTTTCAGGACGATACAGAGCATCAGATGACTGGTCACCGTTCAACACTGTCTTTGGAATCCCTTCCTTCCCCCAACCTGTGTCCAGCAATCTTAAACTCTTTCCCACAAATTTGTTGAATCCTAATTAAGTCCCTCCATCAAAAGACCTGCCTTAAAACCCTAAAACCTCAAGCATCTGCCTTTGCTCTCCCCTTCTAAGACACTACTAAGACTAAGACTGTCAAGTTTGTGTCTTCCACATTGAGGTGAGCTTTGCTTTGTGAACAGGCTATTTTGGCAGTATTTCTGGAAAGCCAACATCCGACAAAGTCATGGAACTTTTTGAGAATCTTAAAAAAAAAAGCCATAAGGAGGACATTTCTCAGAAAAAGGCACACACACACAATTTGGCATATAACTTCAGGGGCTTCAGGGACCTCCTAAAGCCCCTCTGTGGATTTCACAGGGGTCTGTGACCACCGAAGAAGAATCCTGCACTTCTGGGAGAAGAGACTGGTAATCTGTGGTTTGTCAAAGGCTAGACTCAGAAGAATCAGACTTCTAGGGTCAAAAGGATCCTTTTGGATCACCCAGCCCAACCATTCCCTCAACTACATGCTGATACATAGTTGTGTAATCTATGCTCGAAAACCTGCGTTGATGGGGAACTCACTACCTCCCAGGCCACTCACTACTTCTGTGGCAATGAGTAGAGCTGAAATCAGAGCTCCAAGTGGCTGTCTGGGCCTAACTTACTCTGACTTCTGCTTTCAGGAAAGCCAATCACTCCTCACATACACAGTAAAACAGAAAATCTCTTCTCTTACTCTTAGGGTGTGATCCCATGATCCTGAGCAAAAAGCAGTCCCATCAGGAGAAACTCGCAGAGTACTAACACGGTTTTCATGTCCAAACAGGATGGAGACTCGAGACCCCTTAAGAACATCCCACACGTTGATGGTATAATCATTGTATCCAGCAAACAGCAGGCGACCTGGAAGCAGGAGGATATGATGGTTATTAAAACAGTTCCTTCCTCGTTTTTCTTTTCATGATTCTCACTTGCTCATTCATTCATTCATTCAGCAGTGATTTAGTGCCAACTATGTGTCAGGTACTGTGCTTTGCCCTCAGGATTGAGAGAGAAGAAAGCACAGTTGATGCCCCTGTGGAGGGCGGTGGTGGGCAGGCAGACACATAAATCACTGCAGCACCATGTGGTAAGGGCTATAATGGAAGTGCTCGGTTATGCAATCGCAGAGGATGGGTCAAGACGACATTGCAGAAGAAGCAACATTTGAGTTGGCTCTTGAGGGTTGAATAGGAGTTTGCCATGCAGAGAAAGGAGAGAAAAGATGCCTCAGGCAGCAGTAGCAGCATGCAGGCATGAACGCTCAGATGCAGAACAGGGGGAGTGCCTGGGGAAACTGAAGGGTCCAGTGACCCAGCAGATCAGTGCTGCCTTAATTTCTACTAGCAGCCTCCCCTGCTGTGAGGGCAGAGATACCATGAACTTCAGGGACTGAGGAAGGGACTCTTGTGTCACTCCCTCCACCTCTGAAAAAAAGTCCTTTTTTGGCATGAAGGGGAGAATGGAAGACCGGGGAGGAAATGCCTAAAGGCACTGCACATGTGAGTATTGATCCACCCCTGTCTTGAAGAACAGTGTTAAGGCCCTGGCCGGGTGGCTCAGTTGGTTGGAGCATCGTCCGGTACACCAAAAAGGTTGCAGGTTCAATTCCTGGTCAGGGCCTATACTTAGGTTTCGGGTTTAATCCCTGGTCGGGGCATGTACAGGAGGCAACTGATGGATGTTTCTCTCTCACATCGATGTTTTTCTCTCTCCTCTAAAATCAATATCCTCAGGTGAGAGTTAAAACAAAAAACAACAGTATAGGTGGGCACAGCCTTCATCTCCCCTGAAGTGAGCGAGACTGGGGGAAGCCGCTGAGGGCAGGGCGAAGGGGGGTCAAGAAGCCCAGCGGGGGAAGCTGGCACCAAGTAGACTGTTCAGCCTACCGGCAAATAGGAAGTTTAGCTGGGGGGCTGCTTGACACAGAGCCGGGCTTCACTTAGGTTGTACAGTCCCGGGAAAGTTTCTGAAACAAAATCTTACCACTGAGGGAGAAGTCCACGCTGGATGCTCCAAATATGATACTCTCCTTGGAATAGATGGCGACCTCCCTGTCTGCCCGGAGGTCGTAGAGGCGACACTGGGGTGCAAATGAACAAAGCAGCGCTTATTTCTGGCTCCAGCTTGGTGAGGTAACGACCACAGAGCCCCAGCAGGTGCCAGTGGCTTGTGTAGTTTGAGAGACAAGGGAAACACCTTTGTTTTCTCTCCTAATGTTTTCTCCCTCAACCTCAATTCCTATTAATCTCCACGGAGCAGTGGAGATGTAAAGAAACAGCAAATATAGAAGATTTTAGGTACAGAAACAAAAATGAAACCCATCCTTTTTTCTGATAAAGGATATGTGTTCATTGTAGAAAATTCAGAAAAACTCAGAAATGCATAGAGAAGAAAATAGGCCAAATCCTATAGCCATTTACTAACATCTATTTCCTTCAGTCTTATTTCTGTTTTATGTGTGCATTAAAATGAAAAATAAATAAATGGGGTGGATGTTTCATTATTACATTTAGCATTATGAGCATTTTCTCATATCATTAAATAATCTTCCAAAAAGCCCCACGATTAACATGGTTGTTGAATAGTCTTCATGTAGATATATCAGAATCAATTTAGCCATACCCTGTTAAGTGTTTCAATTGTGTCTAATTTTTCTCTTTTCTAATAAAATTCTGGACATTTCTGTCTCTACCATGGTGGCCATGCTTATGTAAAAATCCCTGATATTTTCCTTACAATAGCTAAGGAATAGAAGCATTAGGATAGAAATATTTCCAAGAAATAGCATGTTGAGAGCAAAAGGTAGAGCTACTTTGGAAGCTCTTCTATCATATCGCAAAACTGCTTTCTGGAAGGCTGGTCCTAGGCTCCCTCACTGCACACCGGCTCTACCACTGAGTATTTCTCTAGCACCTGAGCATTTCTTGGATTAGAGGTAACTTGGAGAATATTTTCAGTTTATTGCCATTTTGGATGTATTGCTTTGTAAATAGTCTGCATTATATATATATATTTTTTAATTGGGGTATATGTCATACTGATTATGCAACCTCATTCATATCTAAAGGATTTCACTTAGTCTGTCAGGATTTTTCCAAAGGTATGCACTGACATTTCATTGTATATATTTTCTGACATACAGAAGTTTTAAATTTTCATTATTATCAAAGCTCTCAATCTATTCCTTTGTAATTTCTTTCATAGTAGTAAACCAGAATAAAAACCATTATTTAATACGTTATTTGGTGTTTTCACAGCACGAGAAGGCATTTATTTCCTCTTAAAAAATCAGTCAACATAATTTTTCAATTAGTATCAAACACCTTAAAACTAGGCCTATTTTTAACTCAGTAAGTTCATGTCTGAGAATTCATTCTAAGGGAATAATGAGAGGTTCCAAAAATATTATAGCAGTGTTTTTTAATAGAAAAAAACAACAAAACCTGAAAACCTAAATGTCCAAAAATTGAAGACTGGTTAAGTAAATGATGGCATGTCTATAACAGGGGAAACTATTCAATCATTAAGAAAATATAATATAGAAAACTGTATACTGCCATGGGAAAATGTTCACAATCTATTACTAAGTTAAAAAAGCAAATTATAAAGCATTTTGTTAAAAAAACAAACAAACCACCACCATACACAACAGAGACAGAAAGGAATTCACCCAACTGTAATTTTTCCTGGGTAGGGAAATTAAGGTAATTAAGTTTCCCCCCAAGTTTTCTTCATAGAATACACATTATTTTTGTAATAAATAAAGTTTTTTTAAAAACCAAAATGAAGTCAGCATCTCTTTTTCAAACAGAAAAAGCTTTCACTTAGAAACATACCGTAGCATCATCTGATCCTGAGGCAAAGGCATCTCCACTCGGGTAGTATCTGCAGAGAGGAAGTTTGGGGAGAAGCACTTCAGTTGGAGCGGTGACCCCCAACCCTGGATGCCCATCACAACCCCCGGGAAGGCTGCCCCATGCTATGATCTCGGAATCAGAAGCTCCGCTTCTAGGGACATAAGGGCCACTTGTTACAGAGGCCGGAAAGGAAAGCTCATCCAGCAGACCCAGTGGTCTCTAGATTTCTTCCCGTCAATAGGGGACAGTGACATCGGCCTTGCAGAGCGTTAGTGAGGAGTAAGTGAGATAATACGGGGATGTGCACCAGGCAGGGAACACAGAGCAGGTCCCCGTACCCTCAGTTTCCCTTGACCACAGACCTCATTCCCAAGACTTGGCCCAGGGCTCAGGGATAAGAAAGTGGTTATAAAAGCAGACACTGGAATCAAATACACTGAGCCACCTGCAGATCTCTGCACCGCCTACTTGCCACGTGGGATACTTGGGGCAAGTGGCTTCACCTGGCCCAGCCTCAGTTTCCTTGTCTGACAAGCGAGGATGACACTGCACATCCCCTGCTGTCAGGAGGGCATAAGGCACTATGTGCGAAGAATGTGGCATGGGCCAAACGAAGAGTATTCAATAAATAATGATTATTTCTGCCACAGCCATTCTCTTTTCTATAATTGGCTTCCTGGAGAGAGGGGGGCCTGAGCTGAGACCTGATGGAATAATGGCCATTAGAGGAAGAGGGTCGGACAGAGGCAAAAGCATGGGGTAAAGAACGTGCATTTCTAAGCTGCAGCTCACGAATATATAAGGGTTTATTTTTGTGGATATTCTATCCCGCACCTTAGTAACTTTGTTTACTATCTGTAGTCAATTCTGGATTGAGTTCCTTCGATCTAGGTAATTCCTGCAAAAAGTGATAGCCTTCTTCCTTTTACCTTATTCCATATTTTAGGGCAGGGAGCTAGACAATTCTCACTAACATTTCTACTGCTAAATTTATTTTGTTCTTGCTTTTAAGGGGAACAGGTCTAGTATTGCCCACTAAGCATAATGAAGATTCCATACTGTATATACTGTCTGGACAATGCCATAGTCCAAATTTGTGTGTCAAGTCTTGACCTTCTCTTGGGATCCAGTTCACAGACCCTGCATGTCGTGTGGCCCTTTTCATGTCACCCTGTGGAACTGGGGCTCAGGGAATCAGCATAGAAATGCTGACACTCTGGCTATTGCCATTGCTCTGAGTAAGAAATTGTCCTTCATCTCTAACCCAGGAGTCTCCTGTCTACCTACCAGCATCCATGAACTTGCGGCAGCCTAACTTGATAGCTTGCAGGTCAAGTAAAACCTCAGAACATTCCCAAGTCTACACATTTCTGTCTCTACTATGTTTTCTTAGTTCCAGCCACCATCCTTTCTTTCTTAAACTCACACACCTACCTTCTAACTGGCTGTCACACTTCTTGCTCCCCTATAACCTCTTCTCCACACAGCAGCCAGAGTGATTTTTCGAAGGCAAAACATAGGTAACAATAGCCACCCTCTCCGCCCAACTCAACAGTCTGGCCTTCGGTTAGGTCCCTTAACATCTCATCTTCCCCAGCTCTTTGTAAGCTGGCTCTTGTATCATCCTGGCCTCCATTTAAATATCGTTTCCTCAGAGAGGCCTTCCCTGACCATTCTAAGAAATAACCCATCTCATTACATCTCCTTGTTTTACTTTTGTTCACAGCACTTACCAGTATCTCAAATTAAATTGTACATTTGTTTATTTGTGCGTTGGCTCGTCTCCTGCAGGAAAGCAGAGACCTTGTCTATCTTGTGGAATAATGTCTAGCACGTAAGTACTCAATAAATATTTGTTGAATGAATGAATGAGAAATATTGACTCAATAGGGAGGATACTATCAATGCCCCTAGTACAATTATATTAGAAGTCTCCAAGACATCTGGAGTGCTATCCAGTCCCACCACAGATCAGCCATTCTCTCAGTCAAGCAAACTAAGCTGGAGGTGGTTCCTGGGCTCAGTACTACCCCAGGCCAGGGAGCCCCAGAGAACAGAGGAGTAACTGAACAACCTACTCACTGACCGGACACTGTTGATGTCTGATTCGTGTGTTTCAAAGGCCTGCACGCACTGGCCGGAGCGCATGTCCCACACCATGGCCTTCTTGTCACATCCCTACAAATGCAAAGTCACCCAGAGTTAAGGCCGCTGCAAGGACAGTCTACAGAGTGCCTGAGTTCCAGCTATGTAACACAGGGCAGTTAAGTCCCATTAGTAAATGGCTGGCAATATGCTTTTCGGAGACTAGCTTTCCTTAGGGCCACCTTCCTCAGCTGATAAGCCCTCAGGAGGCCAGAACTAGACCTCGGTGTGGGAGGGGAGCGAGGGCAGGGCCCAGCTTGCCCCTGTAGCACGTTTTCTTCTTTGGCAGCTTTCTGAGTGGGCACAAACTCTCCAGAGCCTACCTCTCGCCCTCCCCATGGGCATTTCCCATCTCTTCACTTTCCCCTTCCTTCCTCCTACCTTTGTAGCTCTGCCTCTCTAAGCCCAGAGGGGAGGGCAGGCAGATGGTGGGAGCCCGTGGGACCCCCTAGCTTTGTCTCAGGTACCCGGGCAGCCCTGAGCCAACAGGGTGCTCTATGTGCCCCAGGGCCATCTGTACCCCAGCAGCACACCGGCTGGGAATCAGCAAAGTCGGAGCCCAGTCATAGCCCTGCCAGCAGTTAGCTGGTTGCCTGGGCAAGTCACCTCCCTGTGCTTCCACCTCAAGACCTGTAAACACTCACTCTGGATCGTGAATAAGACCCAGAGATTCATAAACATGAGGTTCTCACATTATACAATCATGGTTCTAAGAGCATTTGGATAAATTCCTGCAGAGCAGTCCTGCTGTCAAGCTCAGGGACTATGATACGGACTCTCACTCATCAAACAGAAGTAATGGCTTAAAATTGGTGTCAAGTTGCTGGTTTCAACTCAGAGGAAAGGGGGGGACAAGGTACTGCAACCGGTATCTCAGAAAGACCTGCTGTGGGGTTCAGCACTGAGTATCTTTACTGAAAATGGGGATAAAGGAATCAGGAGTGTTTTCTAGTCATTAGAGGACACCAAATCAGAGGGAGTTTAGTGCTCTGAAAGGGACAATAGAATCTACAGTGATATTGACAATTTGAGTAAACAGTGTGGTTGAGGAGAGATAAACACAGTTAGAGAAAGGCACAGGAATGACAAATATACAGATACGGCCAAATACCCACGAACAAAATTGAGGTTCCTGCTATTCGGAGGCCAGAGAACCCTTGTGTGATGCCCAGAACTAAGGTGGGCAACTCCGAGCAAAGAGCCCGTATGTCTTCCAGCTGCAAATGTCATTTGATGGTGTAGGCTTCAGCAGCCTCTCTCACCAAGGGATGGTGACTGGCAGGGGCGGGCAGGGGAGTGTTCCTCCAGCCCAAAGCCCTGATCAGATCACAACCCAGTGCTGCCTGACCTCAGCAGCCATCTGACCGGCCTGGTGCCCCTGTGACTGTCTCTAATGCCGTCAGATGCTGACTTCGCTATTTGAGAAACGACATCTTTAAATGTGGTAGATATGCACCCCAAGTCATAGCAGTCACATCAGGAGAACGCTCTAGATTCCTCCGCAGACTGCTGAATGTCAGGGGCAGAATGGGGGCGCTCACAGCCCAGCACTGGGGCTGCCCTCCATGCACACCACTGCTGTGGGAGCTGGGCTGCAGTGGGGAACTAAGGCGTCCCTGCAACCCCTTCTAGGGACGTATCCCATCTAGTCCCAGAAGTGACAAGAACTGCCACCACCAGCTTCCCTAGTGGACAAAGGACCCTAGACATTCTCCTTGGGTCTTTACCCCGGACACGAAGGTGTTTCCTGTTTCTGAGGGCGCCAGGTCCAAGCAGAGCACATCGGCCCCGTGCCCATGGAAGCTCTGCAGCAGCTGCCCACTCTCCACGTCCCACAAGGCACAAGTCCCATCGCCGCTCGCAGTCAGGATCTGCCGCAGGAAAGGACAGGAAGAGCGCTGTGGTCAGTATTACTTTTGTCAGGGGCAAGTCCGTCAGGGAAGAGAGGCTCCTTAGGCGCACACACACACACACACACACATACACACCTTGCTGCAAGAAAAGGTCCACTCCTACCCCGTCCCTGAGCTGTGTTTCTGTGCCTGTTCCCCGGGGTATGAAACCTGCAGGCCTCCCTGCTGTGCCTGCGGGGCTCCCTGCTGCCTGGCTCTGTGAATGGCTGCTGAACTGGCTCCCACAAGCAGCCACGCCTACTGCTGTAGACACAAGACATGTAAAGTGCTTCTCAGACACTGATGAGCATGCCAGTCACTGGGCTGCCCGCTAGTACAGAGTATGGGGTGAGTCCTGAGGTTCTGCAGTTCTCACAGACTCCCAGGTGACATTGATGCTGGTCACTGGACCCAGTCTGGAGCAGCGAGGGCCTAGACAGCATTCTGTTAGACACATCCTCCTACAGCTGCTTCTTCCCAGATCAGGGTGCTGCCCCAGGGGCTCCCCCGGGCCACTCGGAGGCGCTGACACTCCTGCACGCACAGTGCCAACAGGTACTGGCTGTGGGCCAATGACATCCGGGTGCTCTGCCAGGCATTAGGATTTGCAGAAGGACTGGGTCTTGGTCTTTACTCTCCTGAAGTTCACTCACTTTAATAGGATTGGCTGTAAAAACTGAAACCGACCTAATTCTGTGTCTCCATGTTAATCAATTCTGGGCCCAGGCATACCTTCCTGGTGTTGTGCTAAACAACACTGTGACCAAGTAAAAATAACCTACCTGCTTGCTCTAGGAAATACCTGCTCCTGCAAACTAAGACTGTGAACCAACTAAACAACTTATCAAGACTAACAGCTTGCTCATCAAGACTGGCTTTAAGACCCTTACCTCCCTAGGCTCACCAATCCAAAGCTATTATGTCATCAACCAGTTTCCCACTGTGAGAGATCCACCTTAAAATCACCCAGCCAAGTCCCCAAAGCCCTCCCAGTAGCCGTCCCTGATTTCTCCATGTTGAGACACTACAGAGATTCTCAAGTAGACCGAAGAAACTTGGCACTGCTGAATGGCACGTTTTTCCGACCGTCTTGTAGACAAGACAATGATCACTGTGACAGTGGGAGAAGTACTGAAATACAGGTGGGCCCATGGCAACATCTGAGCTGGCCTTAGAGGATGAGTGACAGCTGGCAAGGTGGGGGGGAGCACTGCAGTCACTGCCCAACTGCACTGAATGGAAGGTGAGCCTGTGTAGAGTGAAGATTTTGGCCTGCAGGCAAAAAGAAGCTATGGAAAGCTTCCAAGCAGAATGATAAGGTCAAGGGTATATTTTCGGAGACTGTCAGGTCTGCGCTGCGTCCCTCAGCAGCCTCTGTGTAGCTTTCGGTACAGGCCGGCCATACAGGGAAGGGAACGCTGGGGTGCCTGCGGAAAGGTATGGGGCAGAACCAGTGTGTGTGAGGCTTGGGCTCTGGCTGAGCACACCTTTGTGGGGTTGGGAGAAAGGCAGTGAAGGCAGTGGGGATCCAGGGTTCATGGGCTCACAGACCCTGCCAATGGCATTGCAGCACCCTGGAGCCATGAGAAGCCCTGGGGGAGCCACAAGCCATAGCAGCATGTCCCTGTGCCCCACCTGGCTGCTCCCCGGGCCTGGAAGAGGTGATAAGACAGGAAGTGGCTCTTGCGATGTTAAGTACACACAACAGAGAGCTCTCTGTGAGTGATAATTACCGACGGCTGAGGAAAGAAAGCGGGAATCAGGCTTTAAGGACGGCTAGCATGCAATGCACCCACTGACCTGCTGCACCTCCAATTTCTATGTGCTGGTGGTCTTCTCCCCTCCTCTCCGTCTCCCTCCTTCCCATTCTCGCCCCTTCTGGCTTGCACACTAGACCTAGCACTGACAAAGAATCTCCTTTTTTCTGCAGGGAGGGGACACATTACAAGGAGGAGGTCTGCTCCCACCTGGCCTTGCGACCATGGGCTGCACTGTCTGGGCATGGGCTTTCTGGAAGTCCAAATATGACCCAGCCCCAACAGGGCTGCCCTCCATCTATAGGGCATTCAGGGTGCCCTGTGGTGTGTCCCTGCTCACTTCTTAGGCTGCCTGATTCCCACCGCACTCCCCTCACACCTCACTGGAAACACCCGTGCCCTCCAGGGCTGGCGCAGGCGACTCCTTGCAAGTGTGTGACCACCCCTTCTGCTCTGAGCTCCCAGGCTTCCCTGCTGTTTAGTCACGACTGGTTTCTGTGAAGGTCCCTGGGGGCAGAGACTGAGTGTGCCTGCAGCCCCAGAGCCAGGTAGTATCCAGCAACGTGGCTGGTGGACACCCAGAAAGGTCTGCTGGATAGACGTGGAGAAATAAACTACGGTATACTTTCACAACTTCTTAAGAAAATGTGGTGAATGTGTTGAAGGTAGTGTTTTTACTTTGGGGTTTACTCAGAGGAGGGCACAGACTTACTATCTAAAGCTTCTTCTTTTGCATGTGTTTAGCCAGGAGTGTAAAGCAGATTCAGTGGGGTGTTGACAGTGCACATTCTGAAGCGCAGCCACTCAGTGAAGTTTCACACACGTCCCGGCCTGGGAACCACCTCTCAGCCCGGGAGATGGAATTCCCACCGCCCCTGGGGTTCCCTGATCCGCCCTCAGCAAGTCAAGGAGGGAAGGATGTTTAATACGGTATGAATCTATCTCCTCTACCAACAGCCAACAGCCCTGGCTTTCCTCATTTTGAGTTCACTTAAAATAATAACAACAACCAGTGAGGAACAATGGGAGCTTCCTCCTGCGGCCCCCCTTCCCGTTAAGGGGAACCCTGGAAAAGCCTCCTCTCTCCTGAGTTCTCGCCCTGCTTGCGAGCAGGGTGACCCATCAGCGCCCCGCATTACCTGCATGTCAGAGTTGGTGAAGCTGCAGGCCGACAGGTAGTTCGTGTGCATAGCAACGGACTTCTTTTTGGCAGCCATGCTTTCGTTTTTGTCAAATGTCAGTGGATACACAGAACACTTATTATCCAAACCACTGGCATGGAAAGAAAGAAGTGTCAAATGTTGACAGAGGGCAACAGAGTATGTGCGCACTTTCCCATGCACACAAACTTCTCAAAAAAAAAGTCCCTTTAGCAGTGTCACACAATGGAACCTGTTCCCCATCTTTTCCTTTGAAGATTTTCAAATGCACAATAAAACTGAAAGAAAAACAGCACAAAGAACACACCCAGTCCCTTCACCTAAACTCATCACTTAACATTTTGCGGGAACAAATTCTGAAGCATTTGAATGCAAATTGCAGGCATGACATGTTACATCTAAATACTTCAATCTGCAAATTCACATCTCCTAAGAGTAAGAACATTCTCCGGTATAACCACCACATCACCACACGTCAGAAAACTAACAAAGGTCCCATAACACCAGGTAATAAGCCGTCCATAGTGAATCTTCCCCAACTGTCCCCAAGATCCAGGGCCCGATCAAGGGTCACACACTGCACTCGGTTTTTATATCTTTTAAGATCATTTCGTCTGGAACAGGTCCCCCACCTATTTTTTGGTGTTCACAACAACAGGTCTTACGCTACTTGTCCTATAGAACGTCACACGTTCTGGAGTTGTCGCACTGTCTCTTAATGGTTAGATTCAAGTATAACATTTTGGCAACAACAGTATAGAGGTGATGTTGTGAGTTTTCTTACAAGGTGATCCTGTGTGCCTCCTTCTTATTGCCCCCTGCAGGAGGCTTGCGACGCCTCTTCACCAAGGGCGGTGATGCCAACTTTGAGTACTTGGTTAAAGGGGCGACAAACAGATCTCTCCATGGGAAAGGTGATCATTTGTAATTAGTAGTATCTGTTGTGTGATACTGAGAGCACGAGACCACCCTGTTCCCCAACAACCTTTCATCTAATGGCTTTCCTAAGCGACAGCATTTGAGAGTGAGGGGCACAGGTTTAAAGCTTATACTATTGTCAGTTTGTAGTGAAAATAATTATGGAAGAGATTTTTTGCTTTTTTCCCTTTCATAAAGTTCAGGGAGGAATTTAACCCATTGCTTAACAAGCAAACAATAAAAATTACAAGTTCTTGTTTGTGTGCTTCTGCCCATTGGCTAACAGGAAACCCGAAAAGCTGCCCACTTACCCACACGCAATGGCACATCCCGATGGGGCATACGCGCACGCCATCACCCACGTGCAGGGCATGGTGACTGCGTGCTCCTGGAACACAGCGTGGACAGGACACAGAATAAGCAAGGGCCGCTTCCACACAAGCATCTCAACATTTAATTTTTAAAAAGTCACTGACGATCTTAGTGAATAGCATAGTTTCAAAGGGCAGTGGGGTGGGGTGACGATTAGCTTGAGACTTAAGAGGGGATTCACTCAGTCCCATGTAATCAACCAAAGGTTATGTCACAGATTCTAAAAGTTAAAAATCTCAACTAGCGAAAATAAAATCCTTAATGTTTTACTTCTTTTTTTTAAAATATGTTTTTACTGCCAGGCCGGGCGTGGCTCAGCAGTTGAGCATCGACCTGGGATCCAGGAGATCGGGGATCGATTCCCGGTCAGGGCACATGCCCGGGGTTGCGGGCTGCAGCTGATCAATGACTCTCTCATCATTGATGTTTCTATCTCTCTCTCTCCCTCTCCTTTCCTCTCTCTGAAATCAATAAAGGTATATTTAAAAAATAATAATAATAAAATAAAATATGTTTTTACTGATTTTAAAGAAGGAGAGGGGGAGAGAGAGACATTGTATGAGAGAGAAACACTGATCGGTTGCCTCCCGTATGCACCCCGTCAGGGGACCAAACCTGCAACCTGGGCTGTTATACACCCCTCGTTCTGAATGAATACTGGGGCTCCTTTCCTCTGAAAGGTCCATCTGAATTTCATTTCCAATATATACTTCACCTCATTTACTCTGATCCCCATTTTCAAAATATATTCTTGAGTGACTTTTTACATGTATATTATAAGTTCACTTGTGAATATACCAGAGCCTCTGGCCCCCGTGGGTCCTAAACCCATTCCTGGGAAGGTATGAAGGGGAAGGGGAGGGTGACCTGGGGCTGTGCTCGGGGATAAAGGAGAACCTGTGAAATGGAGGCACTAAGCACAAGGCCTAACAGTCCCCGGCCTCTGGATGGTGGCCGAGTCACCCGCGTCCTCCCGGGTGCAGATGAGCAAACCACAAGGCCTGACCCGGCCGCACGGTGCCTGGACCGACAAGACGCGCAGCCGGGCAAACCCGCCGCGTGCACTCACCCCGTCTCGCTCTCCGTCGGTCAGGGGAGGGAACGGGACTATCGGTGCAGGACATTCAAGTGCTGGTCTTTCCTGGTACAGTTCGCCATGTTTTTGTGGGGGAACATGGGCCCCGAAACTGCCTGTCAAAACTCTGTTGTCACTCACAGTCTTGCAGCCTTTCAGAGCCAGGAATCATCAACTGCCCTTCAGTGAATCAGCGGGCGGGCCGCTCTCAGCACAGGGCATCCTAGGCCCTTCCTTACGAGTAATGGCTGTGTTCCCTGCCAAGCGCCACACTTGGCGACTCCACAGCTCCAAGAAACCGGGCAGTGTGTGCTCTGTGCCACCCTAAGGCGTCAAGAGAAGCAACACAACCCCGAGCACTGCTCAGGAATACAGGGAGAGGCAGTGCCTTCTATGGAGGTAGGCAATGTATAATAGCGCCCCCTGCGAACTGTTAAATTGTCATTGTTATTGTTCTCCAGGGGCCTGACTACTAAGGGACCTATTCTACAGATGGTTCTGGTCCTCAGCTGATCAGGCCACGTAGCAGCTGCCTACCACGACATTTACTAAAAGCATTCAATAACGCCGAGTATGGACATTGCCCAACTTGAGATAGATGTAGGTCTCCTTTTTTATATAGCGAAAAGGAAGGCTTTCCAAGTAAAAATAATGGAATCCATATTTAATATACAATACTTGTTATTGTAAATGCCAAAACAACGTAGGCATGCAAGCACACCTACACAGAGATTTCAGTCTTTCTCTTTAGCAAAGAGTCTAAATCTAGCCCTGGCCAGTTTGTCTCAGTGGTTAGACTGTGGGTCCAAGGACTGAAGGGTCCCAGGTTCCATTCCAGCCAAGTGCACATACCTTGGTTGCAGGCTCAATCCCTGGCCCTGGTCAGGGTACGTGCAGGAGGCAACCAATTGATGTGTCTCTCTCACATCCATGTTTCTCTCTCTCTCCCTTCCACTCTCACTGAAAAGCAATGGAAAAAATATCCTCGGGTGAAAATTTAAAAAGTAATAAAAATAAGAGAGTCGAAATTTAGGTCTACTTTGGAGCTGTGCATGCTCAAGCCAGAGCTGCAAGGGTCTCAGACTCCACTGTGTCCCTGGACAGTGCAGGTCAACCCACTGCAGCCTCAGCTTCACCCACTGTCTGCTTATGGCCACAGTGCTATGGAGTCTGGTCAAAGACAGAGGGGAGAGAGCTGGGGATCTGGGTACTTCTTATGATCACTCAGAGGAAGAATAAATGCAGTTGCCTGTGTGCGGGTGACCAGCGGTCCAGGCCACACCCTTCCCTGTTCTAATGTGTGTTCTGTGGGGGGTCTGCATGCTCCTCTGTGGGCGAGGGGTTTCAGCTCGAGAGGAATGAACACTATGGTGGGCTGCTGAGCTGTCTTAACAAAGATGGGCTTTTGTGGGGTTTTCATCCCTAGATAGGCTCCCCGAGAGGCGGGGAATGAGGACAGGGCTTGGGAGCTGGGCCAGAGCACCTTTAAATGAGGCTGGGGTTCAGAGGTGCCTCAGTGCACGGGAACACCTTACCTTGTTAGTTGTGAAGGAATCCCACACGATCACCTTCCCGTCCTGGAGGGAAAGAGTATACAGTTCAGTTGCCAGCAAGTTCACTGCCACTGTAACCACTGCTGCAGCCCACACTGGAGGTGTGGGGATGACAACGATGTCATCTGTTTGTAACACTAACTCCCCAGAGATAAATCCAGGAGCTCTGGTCCCTACAGCACAGTTACCTGTGCACACGTGGTATGTGGTGTCTCTGGGCCCCGGGCTCCGGGCGACAGTGGCAGAGGATGGCTGAGCTGACTTCCTTCAGCACACAGGTCCCCCAGGCATCCTCAGAGATGGTGAATCTGCTGTCTCTATAGCAGGCTTGATTTTTTTAAAACAATCAAATCATTTGGAGCTGAATCTGGTGAACGAGGTGATGGGGAGGAGGGGCGGTAATGCCACTTAGGGGCACAACCAAGGTCTGATTACCGAAAGTAACATAGCTGCTTGCTTTGCATGACTTTCCTATTCATTCTGAGTGTGGCTGAGGGGCCCCCAAACAAGGCTGGAGTCGACAGTTTGGGGCCTTTCACGACTCCTAAGTACGTTGGTTCTCCCGGCCTAATTTCTCTGGCTACACTCCCAAACAGGAGGTGTGGGGGAGATTAGGTAACAGTGCAGAGAACGGAGCAGGGCTCCACGCCTGGATCTTGGGGTCCTACCCGCTTGGAGCCCCCGCTTGCTGGGCAGGGTATGACTCAGTGCACAGCCCACGTGGGCCTTCACTTTGGTGGCTTCCTCCACAGCACTGCCTGCCTGCCTGTCCTCAGTGCCTACCCACTGTGCGCTCTGGAGAGAAAAAGCCACCCGAGAGGCTAAGATCAGTCCGATAAAACTGAATGTGGTTCCCTTCGTGAGCACAGTTTATACACCAGGGCTTACAGACCTAGAGAGATGGTGCCCCCACCCCAACCCTAACCCACGTGCCAGGCTGCTTAATCTCCCGCCTTTTAAGGGAGGAGGGCTGCTCTGAGTCACTCAAAGTCTGCTCCAGAGCCTTCCGGCTGTCCCCAGCTTCCTCCCCCACCCCCACCCACTCTCTCTGCAGCAGAGGACGGATGGAGCCTGTCAGCCCTCCTCCCCTCCCTCCCTCTCTAATCAGAGCGTACATGAGTGACAGAAAAATCCAACATATATTGTACTTTTAAGGACAAGTCTAAAAGGCTGGTAGCAACACACATATCTCAATAACCACATTGGAAAAGTGAGCGTTTGAAAAAACAACATCTAGAAAAAAACGCTCTAAAATAAAAATAATGGTTGTGACAGGGTGGTGGGAGCAAAAACCTTCTTGTGTTCTCTTTTCCAGTGTTTCTTAAATGTGGTAAAAACACAAGAGTGATCCATTTTTTATGGACATAAAAAAAGCAAGCGCTATGTGTCATACGAGATTTGTAGGTAATACAGGAGATTAATACCACCAATCCTATTGAACACAACACTGACATGGATGTTAGAGTGGTGGATAATTTAGAATATGCAGAGTTTTTATATGAAAAAGGGTTATTAAAAAACCTTAAATTGTCCTTTGAAAAAGCTGGGATGAAGGGAATCTTAAACTGGCTATAAAAATATGTGACTTCAGTATATAGTTGTATGTTCGATGCATGTAACATTAAAATAAACATAAAAAAATACTAGGCAGTGGTTGCCAGGCCCCAAGAGTCCCCAGTCATCCCAGTTTCCCCATACTCACACAGCTGTAGGGTCCCCCCCTCATTATATCAGGGTTGGTCTGTGTGACCAATGGAATACAGCAGACGTGATAGTGTCACCTCGAAGGCCAGGTCATAGAAGACCTGGTCGTAGAAGCACGGCTTCTGCCTCCACCTCCCTCTCCTGGATCACGTGCTCTGGGGGAGGCCAGCTACCGTGTCCTGGGTAGCCCTATGGAAAGGTCCACATGGTGCGGATGTAAGACCTCCAGCAACAGCCCTGCGAGTGAGCCATCGCAGAAGAGAGTCTCTCCCTTAGTCCAGCTGTCAGGCCTGCAGCCCCGACCAGCATCCTGGCTGCAAGCTCCTGAGGGACCCTGAGCCAGAGCTACCCAGCGAAGCTGCTCAGGATTCCTGACTCTCAGAAACCACGTGAAATAATAAATATTTGTTGTTTTAAGTTGCTACATTTTGGGGTAATCTGTCATGCAGCTATAGATAACTAATACATAAGATGTAAAATAAACTACGTCGACTCCACAAAATGAATGAAAAATTAGATTTCACAAAATGCTTATGTTAAATATGTTCTTTAAGGCACGAAATTGCTACATTCTTAAACTGAAAGAAGCCATAATGGCATCTCAACCACTTATGATCTCAATTTGAGGGGGAAAAAACACTTTTAAAACTGGCTTCACTCACAAATAAGACAGTGAAATATGCTCAGGAAGAAATAATTTTAAACGGTTTGTCTAACAGAGTGTACAATGCTTCAGTATAACCAATTCCAAATCTCCCCAAATTAGTGAAGCTCTGCAGTGTAAAGAGACCTCTCAGCCACGCCAAACTCACGTCCTTTGGCGAATAAGCAGAGTCGTACAGATCAGACAGGATTTTTGGCAAGGACGGCTCTCGTCCCCCTTCGCTATTAAATCAGAAAGCTGCTCCCATCACACAACAGGGGCGACATACCTGCGACGAGCTCACCATCCTCCTCTTATCTTTGCACCAGTCCATGCAGAGAACTTTGTTCCCGTGGCCTTTGAGGGTCCTTCTGGTCTTCATGACAAACTGTCCCAGGGCCTCCACCCGCTCCGCCACCTGGTGCACTAGGAGGACAGGGCCACGGTCAGTTCCGTTACCAAGGACCAGCCTCGGAGCCATGTGCCAGCACAGGGAAGACAGCCACAGTTCGGGCCTCCTTGGTTCTCCCAGGCCCTCCACTGCTCTCTTTTAGGCTTAGAAGAGGGTAGGGTCAACACTGTCATCCTCTCCTTGTGTTTCTCAAACCACCGTATAGAATTCTTGGGTTGAAGGGCCACAGCTCTGCAAGGTGGGCAGGGTGGCGGCTGTGAGACTGCTATCCCCATTTCACAGACGAGGAGACGGTGGCTCACGGGTTATTCAGCTAATACAAGTTTATATAACTAACTGGGAGTGAAGCTGGGGCTTCTGGTTCTTTTATCTACCACTTTCTAATCACAAAGAAAAGTGACTTTACAAAACTTATCCTGGCAGGTGCCATAGTGTGGACCCATGCTGCTCGAGGGCAGGCACTGTGACTCCTAACTGATCCCCATGCGTAGCGCAGGCCAGGGACACAGCAGGTAACCCATTCACATGCTGCAGGAAAGAATGAATGAGCGACCCACCAAACAGTGCTCCTGTGGGTTTACTGAAAACTCAGTGTGGGCAGAGACCAATGCAATGTTCTAAAAGCCAGGAGGGCGCTCCAGAAATCAGTCTCTCAGGGGCTGGGGCCACAGCCTCTCCTGAGGCTAAGGGAGAGCTTTGAGGGGTGTACTTAGAGGCTGTCACTGCTGCATCTCAGAGGGAGACCAGTTCCCACGAAGTAGCAGAAAGGGTCGCAGACACCATCCTGTCCAGGCCCCTCCCTCATTGTGCGGTGAGGAAGGCCAGGTATGGATCCTGTGGCTTCTCCCACTCATGGAGGACCTACCATTCTCTTTCTGGTAGAGGCTGTGTCCAAGTCTCCTCCCTTTAAACCGATCAGCTGGGCCTTTCTTTAGACAGGAGCTGCTGAGCTTGCTGGGGAAGTGCCCACCACCCTTCCCTCAGAAGTCTGGGCTGAGGGGCTGACACGTATTCTCGGGAAACCCTTCCTTCCTGCTTCCCTCCCTCCCTTTCTTTCCTCTGAACACTTCAGTGCGTATTTCCTAAAAACAAGGCACTCTCACATAACCACAGTATAATACCACAGTCAGAAAATTAACACTGGCACAAAACTGCATCTAATCTACAGCGCTTACTGAGATTCTACCTTCCCAACAATATCTTATAGCAAAAGATATTCCAAGATCCTGTGTTGCGTTCAGTTTTCACGTTTCTCTCGTCTCCAATTATTTTGTTCCCGTTTGGGCCTGTCTGATGCTTCTGGGGACTAGGTTTGGGTGATGTGCATCTGGCAGGAACACACCAGGCGACACTGAGCTTCTGTCCCTGTGACCCACCAGGAGGCACCTGCTGTGATCACTTGGTTGAAGTGGCATCTGCCAGGTTTCTCCACTGCAGAGTTACCAATTTGCTTTTTGTAATGAAAAAGTATTTTGTGGGGATATACTTTGAGATTACATAAATATCCCCTTACTTCTCAAACTGAAATACCCTGGTTTTAACATCCATTACTGATTCTTGCCTCAGATGGTTATCAGGATAGTTGGTGAGTGGTGATTTTTCTAATTACATCATTCCTTCTGCATTTTTAAGCTGGTTTTCGCATATAAAAAGAAGCTTTTCCTCTGCCCCAACTTAACTACTCATTCATGTATACTAGTATGGACTCATGGATTCTCACCTTACTCAAGATGTTGTAAGCCCTTTACTATTATTTATTTTAATGTTCAAATAGGCCCTGATTTGCTCAGGAGCATCAAGCAGGCCCTCGTGACCTTCTTACGGTTCCCCATCATTATCCAAGCACCTCTCACTGCAGGCTCACGTTCTTTCCCTGCCCCAGCCCTAGAATCAGCTGCGTCTCTAAAAATCTTAGTTTCTTTTAGTTGCACCATTTCTTTGTGATGAAAATGCAAGTGTGAACAGGTTAAAAGTCTTCGTGAAATCCCAAAGAGTAAAAAATGCCTGCTGAACTGTAAAGTGCTACATGAATGTACAACGATTATGCCATCACTTCTGCTAAAACACTGCATTCTTTATTGCCACAAATAGTACATCAGTCTCTTACAGATACATCCTTTACAAAAATATACTGAATAGAGCTAAAAAAACAGACTAAATTTTCTAAATTCTTATAGGTCTTGTATGCAAGCCTACGCCAGCTCAGGGTTGTGACCGTATTCTACTTAGTATTTTACTTTGAAGCATCACATCGATATTATTGCTGTTTCCCCCAATTCAGCATCATTCAGCATTAGGATAACCACAGCTATTTAATGTCCTTCTTGAAAAAAAAAAAAAAAAAAGATGGCTCACCAACCAAAATAGGGCCCTTCTTACATAACGAGAATTTGAACACATCTCAACTGCTAATTATTTTTCCCCACTGCATTTCACTTCCCACATACGATTTACTCCCACTCCACTCTATCCTGTTTCTATCTGCCAAATCTCACATCTGTTGAATTAGAGAGTTAAAGCAGCCCTAGCCAATTTGGCTCAGTTAGAGCATCGGCCCGTGGACTGAAGAATCCAGGGTTCGATTCAGGCCCAGTTGGAGGAACCAATCGATATGTCTCTCTCACATCAATGTTTCTCTCTCTCTCTCTCCCCCTTCCACTCTCTCTGAAAAGCAATGGAAAAAATATCCTCAAGTGAGGATTAAAAAAAAAAAAGGAGTTAAAACAAACTTAATAGTAAAAAATTTTAAAAGCAACTGGAAGTGTTTGATTATGTTCTGTAAATAATTTGTGGGCGCTCGTTCACAGCAGACTCGCTTTCCCCTTTGCCTTCTCATGGACCACCCACCCCTCCAGGGTCTAACTTTCTTTTTTTAAAGGAATAATGAACATAACCAGCTGGTTTCTATAAGAAGAACTTACTAGACTATATTGATAGTCAGTTAAGAAATTCCATTCGAAGGTAAGTGGCAGGGGGACGGGGTGCAGTCTTGTTCGCCCTCCTTAGAGCACAACTAGAGCAGAGCAGTCCGGAACCAGGGAACCCGGCCCCAGGTGAGGATAAAAAAAAAAAGATCTTGAATCACTTTCTAAATTTTCTCACAATATACAGTCTTTTGATGGCCACTATGTTGGTAAATCAAAAGATTCAAGGAGGGAAAATTTATCCAAAGTTAATTTTCAAAAACTCATTCTGATTCTACCCCAGGGCTGAACGGGAGGGGATGTATACAAACCCTCCCACACCCAGATGAAAGGAAAGCATCTACAATCACATTACATCACGATGTTTGTCACGGATTTTTGAATTTCCTTAAAACCATGCATTCGCCACACTAAAAAAAAAGTCCTACCCTGAATTCCCTAATGAAGCTATGGTACAGCACTGAAGATGGAATACTATGTAGAATAGCATCTAATAATTTTTAAATGCTGACATTAAAAAGAACTGTACATGATATGGGGAGCTCTTTGATCCACTGTGTTAAATTAAAACTAGGCTCCAACTCTACACCTAGTACAGTCCCAAGTATGCGTATAAGTTATACACAAATATAAAAACATAAGCTATGAAATACATCGAAATATTAAAAGTGGCTACCTCTGGGTGGCGCAGTTATGGATGGCCTACTTTCTTCTCTATTTCTAAATCTGCTACAGAGGGCACTCGTTTATTATGACACACTCTGGAGACATTTGCACTGGCCAGTGCGAGTGCATTATGAATGCAGAGCAAAAGGAAAGGGAGAGGGAAGGAGAGGCAGGTGTGCTTTCTGTCCCCTCGATGCTGCAGGCGGCACAGGGAAGAACAGCTTGGGAGGATTACTCTGCAGGGAAACTCACTTCTCTGAGCCTCAGGACACGCAGCGTATTTCCTCAGAACAGGGAAAAAGTGAATCAACACATTTGCTCCAGACAAATCCAGAAATTTGGTTTTCCTAGATTTCTCCCTACACCATAAAGTCAGAATGGTCCAAGGCTCCTGCCATAAAGCCTGTCCAAAAATAAACAAACAAACCAAATGAAGCCACTTTAAAGTGGAGCCGGAGCTGCCACAGCAGAGGAACTGCCTGGTACATCCTACGCCTCAAACTTCTGGAATGTTAAAACTGGGCAACACAACCTTTGGACTGGGCCTAAAGGAACATTGTGCCCCAAAGATAGTAAGAAAGCAGTTATGACCACTGAACTGATGACGGCCAGACTGAAAATTAAAAACATTGTCTAGAATTAACATCACTATGCCATGTTATCTGCACCAATGAAAATGTCTTCCTTCTACTGATGTAATTGTTCCCCTTCCCATTTTCACAGATACCCATTGTCCCTGTCTCCTAATTGGAACATTAATTGGGCTTCTGCCTGAATCAATGCTCCCCGAATAGCTATTGTTATTGATCCCAAGTAAATGCTCTTGTCTTTCACTTTGAAAGGCCTTTTTATTTTTAGGTTAACAAGCCTTTGAGAATAAAACCTTTCACCAAGTTACATTTAGAACAGGCAGAAAAGTGGACAGCACCTGATGATAAATCCTGTGATTTGCCCAAACTTCCTCTGGATTTGTACTTACAGAAATAATACACATTGTCTTTGAGTTGCTTCCTAGACAAGATTAGAGACTTCCCCAGAGGAACTGGGAATCTGGATGCAGCCCCCCCACAGCCCCACGAGGTTGTTGACGGAAATGAACCCAGCACCTGTCCTGCTGTCTGCTTCTAGTTTGTCTTCCAGACCATTCGTCAGTTTAATGTCAAGTTAAGGACTCTTTATAGATGAACACTCTCCTTTTGTTCTTGATCTTTACTCCCATTCCAGTACTCTTTTTTTTTTTTTTTTTTTTTTAGCAGTAAATTCAGAGGTGGGTATAAAGTGAAAAGTACCTCTACTTCCCCACCCCTTTGGCCCCTCTCCAGAAATAAGTTTCTCCTGTACTCTGCCACAAACTTAATGCACACACAAGCATTTCTTGATTAAGCTAGAGAGATCATGTTATATACACTGTTCGGCACTTGCTTCCCCCTGCCGCAATACTGACATTTTTTCATAAACACACACACACACAAATTTACT